TAATAACTCTTCCCATCCCTTTGCCTAATTACCTGACAGTTGGGTAATTTAGAGGTTTATATATTCTCTTATTGAGCCTGGATTACAATACGAAGAGATTGCAGCATAAATTTACACAATACCAGATGTTGACACACAATGATTTAAGCTATTGTGTCACAATGAATGTACTGGTAAAAAAAAACAACCGAATCTTCTGAGATTACTTGCTAGCTTAATGGCTTCCATCAGCCAGGAAGTGTTTATTACAGAATGTGATGATTTGGAAATTTCTTCTGACAAAACCTGTCACTATTACTTCCTTAAACGCGACTCCTTAAATCTTTATGGTCATAATAGGACAGATGAGAGGTGGATATCATACAGGTATCATGTCTACTGTATCTCAGTTTTTCCAGCTGTGACATAAACAGTATGTTGCTAATCCAGCGATACAGTAAACCTGCTGAAGATAAACTATGAACAACATAGATGGCGCTGCTGCTGTTCCATCCAGAGGGAAGGAATGTAAAGTTTTCTAAGTATGTAGCTAATGGCTGAGGGTTTTGGCTGCAAAGCTGCAATTTTTTCTGGGCTAAAACCAGCGATGTAGGTAGACAGACAGGAAGAAGAACAAGTATTGTGAGTGATATGATGATGAGAATTTTCAGAGAGCAGGGTGGTTTCTACACTGGTGGTCTACTTACTGCTGGGTTTGGAGTGATTTGTTTAATGTCTTGTATCCACAGAAAAATAAGTTAAATGGTAACGATGCTGTGATATTCTTCTAAAAAGGAATTAGTCAACTTCTAAATTTCTGGCCTAAACTTAGGAGCTCACCTATAGTTATTTTAATATAAAAGAAGATATTTCATGAATAAGACAAATTAGGATTATCATCCAAAACACCAGATAAAAACAGTGCGTTATAATATCGCTATAATATCACATTTTGTTCCCTGATTCCTAAACTTTCATTTATTGAAGTGAGGTCTAATGAGTTGCTAGTTCACATTTTCAATAGCTAAATGTTTAAAACAGTATACAACCTAAAGCATGATTTGTTATAATCATTTTTTTTTATATTAAGTACAGCACTTCAGCTTTACACAGCTAGATTGAGTGAAAACATTTAGGCAATTTTTCTTTGCTAAGGAACCTAAACTCAGTCGGTTTAAATGTAGAGCATCTGTGTCTTTTGATTAAATATATTTTCTCTTGTTTTGAACAGGTAAATGAAAAAAGAATAAGATTAATTACATTTAAAATAATAAAAATAACTGAATTATTTAATTCAAGTGCATCTAACGGCAAGGATATGTAATCCTTTAGCAGATCATCTAATCTAATTGGTCAAATTAAAGGCAAATATGCTTTTTTAAAGAAAATTTCCTTATTTTTTTTTATCTGTTTGTGGTGTATTTCTGATGTCATGTTGGAAAATAAAGTGCCATTAAAGGACTTTTAACATTTACAGCAGCCAAGAGGTTTTCCTCTAATATTACCTGATATTTGGCTGCCTCTTTCATTTCCTCAATTCTAACCAGCCTCCTAAAGAAAAGCTTTCCCCCAGCATGATGCTGCCATCACCGGGTGGGAATGATGATAAATAGTCTTAGTTTTTTGCTTTGCAATGCTTTGCCTAAACGCCAAAAAGGCTCATTTCAATCTGATCTCATGGGCAGTACTGTTTGTGCATTTTATCACATTCCACAGAGCTGTGATTCATGACATACATTAGACAGGAAATTTG